CAGGCGCCGCGTGAGTGGCACGACACACTGAGGACTACACTTGCGGCTCTTGGGTTTGCTCCTTCTACTGCTGACCCGTCGCTGTTTCTGCGCACCGACACCTCGTTGCCGCCGTTCTACATCCTCGTGTACGTCGACGACTTGGTCTTTGCCACTGCGGACACTGCCGCACTCGCCCACGTGAAGTCCGAGCTGCAGAAGAGACACACGTGCACAGACCTTGGTGAACTGACAAGCTATCTTGGCTTGCGGATCACCCGGGGCAGAGCACGCCGCACCATTACCCTGACTCAGTCACACATGGTGCAGCAGGTCCTTCAGCGCTTCGGCTTCACGTACTCCTCGCCTCAGTCCACTCCTCTGCCTACGGGACACTCGCTCTCAGCTCTGCCTTCGGATGAGTCCGTAGAGTCGAGTGGTCCGTATCCAGAGCTTGTGGGCTGCCTCATGTACCTGATGACTTGCACTCGACCTGACCTCGCATACCCTCTCAGCATCTTAGCACGCTATGTTGCTCCCGGCCGTCACCGGAAGGAGCACATTGTCAAAAGTTAGAAGAAAGAAAGAGGGTTGAACTAGCTGAAATGGGGACACAAATAGCAAACCCTAGAAGGGTTGTACTCGCTATAGAGCACCCCACTACAGGCTAGAACATAAGAATAACATTCTGACACACATGGATGCAGCTAAGAGGGTGTTGCGCTACTTGTGCAGTACGTCGGGCATGGGGCTAGTGCTTGGAGGGCGTGAGCGGCCTGTGCTCACTGGGCACTCAGACGCTTCTTGGGCTGACGACCAGGCTACTCAGCGGTCGTCTCAGGGTTACACCTTCAGTCTTGGCTCTGGTTCTGTCTCTTGGCGCTCTACTCGCTCTTCTTCTGTTCTCAGCTCCAGCTTTGAGGCTGAGATCTACGCCACGGCCATGGCTGCCCAGGAGCTTCGCTGGCTCACCTACCTGCTGAGTGACCTTGGAGAGCGGCCTCGTTCTCCTCCAGTGCTGTACGTCGACAACAAGGCAACCATTGCCTTGTGTGAGGAGCACAGACTGGAGCACAGGACGAAGCACATTGCTCTGCGCTACTTCCTTGCTCGAGAGCTGCAGCAGCGTGGTCAGCTTCGCCTGCGTTTCGTGGCCACTAAGGCCAACACTGCTGATGTGTTCACCAAGGCACTTCCGCCTCGTGACCATCAGCGCTTTTGCACTCTGCTAGGCCTTGTGCCCACTGGGCCTCACTTGCTTACCTCTTGACCTTGCTTGTACTGCTCCATATATATATCCTTGCTCTTGCTTGTTTAGCACTGTTATATATATATGCTCTGCTGCATGTGAACTGGCCTTGTGGCCTTGATCTTGTGCTCGGAATTTGTGTGGTATCCTTGAGATCCACCCTGAGCTTAGCTTGCTTTGCTTTGCTTTGCTTGACTGGTCTTGTGACCCCTTGCTCTCCCCCACTTTGCCTATGGGGGTGTGTCAGATGATTATATTACTGATGCATATATTTAGGCTGTAGTGGGGTAGCCCATAGGGGGTACAACCCAATTAGGGTTGGTACTTGTACTTGTTTCATTTCATAGTGCATCCATTCCTCGCCTCTATCTCAACATTTTAAAAGAGGGAAACCTTAACGGTATCATGCATGTTGGAATAACCGAAATGTTATCATAATCATTCCCGAAGGTTCTCCACTCTTGCGTCACTTCATAACGAATTGCTCGCCTGTGCAACCTGGTAACTGTCTAGAATGGCAATAGTCGCGGATTACTGTAGCAATGCATGACAGTTAATAAGGGAATGCTATTATCTCCTAGCTAGGAATGCACGGCTAGCTAGGAATGCTATTTATCTCCTTGTACTTCTATCCTATAGTTATCTTTTTCTCTTTCAATTCTCTAACAATGTCACTACAAGAGACTCACATCTCTTCTTTCACACTTGGTAGCTTTAACCTATCCATTACGATCTTCTGCTATATCAACAATGTACGTATACAACTGAACATTAGGTTAATCCATGATTTATAGATAATTGATATATGTTCGTCGACATATGTACATTCGGAACCTTTCCAATGTCGCACAACTTTTAACATTTGTATACTACTCAAGAGATAATGCTCCAATGATAGGATATTCTAACAGGGCTTCTAACAATATATAAAAATGTCATTGTATGAATATTATACTTATTTGTCACGATAAACGATTTCATCCATATTCATGCTAGATCTTCAGTATTCGCGCTTGCATTTGCACATCTGTCTCATGATCCAGGTCGGGTGCTCGCAAATTATATGCCTTGTTAGGCCATTTATTGCCTCAACGGATCACATAAAATCCGGCTTATAATTATAAAGTAAAAGATTTGGAGAAGTTGAATTTCCATTTAGTTCGGACATGTACATACCTACATAGTCTACTGATAGCATTTGTGCAACCCATTTGCTGATTATTTCATTAGGGAAATGTATCCTGCTACTTATAAATTGAGATATTGCATGTTCCGATAACTTCACATCCCCAAGAAGGGGTTTTGCGCAAGATGTGATTGGATGTATTGCAACTGTAACGGACATTTCACAACTCTCAGAGGTGATCGAGATTCATGAGTCTGCATTTCTGCGCAGCTGCCATGTCGAGCTGGCGGGTAACTGGGAAGCATAGCAGCGCCGGCAGCCAATCTGACGATTAGTGACTAATCAGATTCACCCACAAAGCCCCATCCCACAAGTTTCACTCGACAGCCTGCTGACGCTGGCAGCCGAGTGAGTCAGCTTTTTCCGAGCTGTATTTTCGACTGAGTCAGATTTTGTCGCCACTAAATCATACTGACCAATGGTTTTCGTTCTTCCCCCACTTGACTTTCGACTCACCTCACCTCCTTCGAACCGCAGACCTTCGACACCTCCAGCGGGATACTGTATTCGCTGGCATGTGTGGTTGCCAACAGTTTTAGGAAAAATTCTGTTAGGTAGTTTGTCTGACCGTTTTATCTCATTCCCACATTGTTTTGTTACGGATCTGCATGAAATCTCCCCCGACTGACTTTATTTCTCGGTCGTTTTGCTGGTAATTTTGTTTTTCTGGCCTGCCCTCACTCGTTTCTCGTCAGTCTAAAAGTAACGAGACTCCTTCCCTTTCCCCTTGCTCTTTCCTTGCTGCTCCACTCCACCCCATTCTAGACGCTAGCATTTATGTGTGAGCATCAACCCTCCCGTTCATCAGTTTTTACTTCGTCACTAGCTTCTCGTTTTCCTGCAGCTCAGTTTCGTCTGCTGCTTCTAGTTTCGTCTGCTGCTGCTCCTAGTTTCGTCTGCTGCTGCTCCTAGTTTCGTCTGCTGCTGCTCCTAGTTTCGTCTGCTGCTGTCGGTTCCCTTTTCTTCATTGAAAATGATTCCCTGCGGAGGACAAGCTTTACGTACCTCTATTCGCGTTTCAGCGCCTAAGGGCGTATTCCTACGGCCTCCTATCAAGAAACCTCCTATCAAGATTGTACATTTTGCCTGGTAAAAGTAGCGAGAGATTTTGGGTTTAGGGAATTTTCCAGTGAGAGCTTGATAGGAGGTTTTCTTGATAGGAGGATAGGAATACGCCCTAACGCTCGTGGTGCTTCTGCTTCTGTGTCCTTCTGTTCCTGTTTGTTGCAGTTACTTCTGCTCTGACCTGTCTTCTTCGAAGAACAGAACACAATCAGACGTCGTCTTTGTGCTGACTGTCTGCAGCTACTCTCTTTGAGTCTCTGGTAAGTACCAGTTCGTCCTTATCTTGACATGTGCTTCGGCAATCTTACGTTTGTTTGGGTTATATTTTAGTTGTTGTGCAGGGTCGACTTCCCAGCGTTCAGTGTCCTCCCTTATTCCTCGTCGAGACCTAGTTCAGCGTGATAGGTTGTGATAGTTCATCGTGATAGTCTAGCTTGATAAGTTATGACTAGATAGATCGTGCGTGCTTGTATTTGTATTTCCCGGGTGTTGTAATATCAATACTTGATAATATTGGCTGTGACAGCCCTTACTGTAGTCATGTCGTAACTATCGTTTTATGTTGAATCGTGGTATCATTAAATATATAGATTGTTTACAAAATAGGATATTTCATGCCGTTCAATAGTTACTGGGTTACCATTTCGTGTTGCAACGCTTTATTGTTGAGTTATGTTTTATCGATTGTCGGGATTTTACTGTACACATTCTTATTCGGGTACTGGATCGCTTTAAAAACAGTCCAAATGTCATCTGACACTGCGACGCGCGTTGTGTTTCAATTCGACGCTGCAATCAACCTTGCTTTGATTTCGACCAATGAAAACCTTCGGAATGTCCCTTTCCCAAAGTCAGGAACAAATCACAGCTGACAATACCGTTCGTTCGTGCGGTGTTACCGGTTCTCGTGTGCAATCAGAAGTGTCGGGCATTTCGCCGATCACACATTCGTTCCGACCTGTAAGTAACTTTGCAGCATGTTTACGTTCGGGAGGCCCCAACCCTCACATCGCATGATTTCAGTATGTTCGCTAGTAACCAGAACGCTGAAATCTGGACACCAACCACAAAGTAACTAGGAAATAGCTTTGTAGTAGGTTTAGCTTGCCATCATTTTTGGGATGGCGCGCCTCTCGAACCAACTTGCCAAGCTCCTCCACTACTGAATCCCGTCTCCTGCGTGGTCATCTGACACGTGGCATATCGCCATTAACCATGAGGCAGCCACTTCTTGCTCCGCAAGATCCGGAAACCGGAACGGCGAGCTCGTCAGAAGAACCGGCGCTACTTGACGGCGCCGGCGGCGGTCATCCGAGCTCCGATATTGGAAGCAGGCAAGAACAAGGAAGCGCGGCTCGTTCCGCAGCCGCACAAGGAAACGGCGCGGATTCAACCATAGGTCACTCTCACTACTCGCACCGCTCGCCATGGCTGCGCGCCGCGCTTCTCGGGTCGAACGACGGCCTAGTCTCCATTACCTCCTTAATGCTCGGAGTCGGCGCTGTAGACACTTCCCGAACGATGATGGTTATATCGGGGCTGTCCGGGCTTATAGCGGGGGCGTGCAGCATGGCTATTGGCGAGTACATTTCGGTATACGGGCAACGCGACTCGGAGGAGGCGGATCTAAAAAGAGAGCGGGAAGAATTTGAGAAGGGCCCCGAAGCGGTGGCGCGGGAGCTGCGCGAGCTGACGCAGATCTACGTGTCGCGCGGTGTGCCGCACGATCTGGCGCGACAGGTGGCGGAGGCGCTGCATGAGAGTGATCCGATAAGAGCACACGCGAGGGAGGAATTGGGCATCGACTTGGATGACTTGTCGGATCCGGGGCAGGTGAGATTCGGGGCAGGTAAGATTCGGGGCAGGTGATATCCAGGGTAGGTGAGATTCGGGGCAGGTGAGGTTCGGCCAAATGGTTATGGGTGGAAGTGCTTCGGAATGCATGCCAATAAACGGGAAAGGATGGGGATGGATATCAATGGGATGAAATTATCAACGGGTGGGATATTGGGTGGCAATTAATGAATGGAAATCTATGGTCATTGCATGGGAATGGATGGTCATTGCATGGGAATGGATGCAATGGGAGTGGATGGGAGATGGCATTGGAATCAGGTGGAATCAGGCCATGAGAGCCCATGTGGAATCAGGCCATGAGAGCCCATGTGGAATAAGGCCATGAGAGCCCATGTGGAATAAGGCCATGAGAGCCCATCATTCGTTTTGTACTCCCATCTGCCTCCTGTCCCCCTTTTCCAAACGCCCTCCCTCCCTCCCTCTTCCGCCCATCCCATCCTTTTCTGGATCACTCTCTCTCTCCCTTAGTCACAAAATGCTGCTTCTTAAAAACTGATTTGTTACAGACCCATAGAAGCAGTCCTTCCCTGCCTTCCCTCCCCCCCCTGCCCACCTCTGCAGGAGGGACTGGTTTCGGCCGTATCCATCTTTCTGGGAGGAATCTCCCCCCTCCTCTCAGGCTGCATAATCACAGAGTCATGTAAGCCCCCATTACTTAAACAGTCTCCCCATCCCCCCACCCCCACCTATGCAGGCAGCAATGGTTTCGGCTGTCTCCTTCTTTCTGGGGGGGATTCTACCCCTCCTCTCAGGCTGCTTCATTACAGATTACAAGGCGCGCATCACTGTACTCGTCGGCCTATCCACCACGCTCTTTGTCTTTTTGGGCGCGATCGGCGCGTGGCTGGGCGGCGCACCTCGGGCCCGGGCGGCACTGAGGACGACTGTGGGTGGCTGGCTGGCCATGGCAATCACCTACTCAGTCGTGTGGGCTTTCGGTGCTTCAGGTGTTTAGTTAAGTGTGCACTCAGATTTGCAGCCGGCAGGAGTTGATGAGTGCCCTTGTCAACCTGAGTCAAGGTGTGGGCGTTTGGGGCTTCAGGTGTTTAGTTAAGTGTGCACTCAGATCTGCTGGCGGCAGGAGTGAGGGGTGGTCTTTTCAACTTGATCCAGGTGTGAGGCATCAGGTGTGCATATGCAGCTGTGCAGCATGCAGGAGTTGAGATGTGTGGAGTGCGGTTTTGGAAGCGGAGATTCCAGGCATGGTCTTGACTCTTGACCTTTGGGTCTTGGAAGCTGAAAGCAGAGAGTCCATGTATGGGCATGGTGTGTGGGCGTGGTGTATGGGCGTGGTGTATGGGCGTGGTGTGTGGGCGTGGTGTATGGGCGTGGTGTGTGGGCGTGGTGTATGGGCGTGGTGTGTGGGCGTAGTGCATGGGCGTAGTGTATGGGCGTGGTGTGTCGGCGTAGTGCATGGGCGTAGTGTATGGGCGTGGTGTGTGGGCGTAGTGCATGGGCGTAGTGTATGGGCGTGGTGTGTGGGCGTAGTGCATGGGCGTGGTGTATGGGCGTGGTGTGTGGGCGTAGTGCATGGGCGTAGTGTGTGGGCGTGGTGTGTGGGCGTGGTGTGTGGGCGTAGTGTATGGGCGAGGTGTGTGGGCGTGGTGTGTGGGCGTAGTGTATGGGCGTAGTGCATGGGCGTAGTGTATGGGCGTGGTGTGTGGGCGTAGTGCATGGGCGTAGTGTATGGGCGTGGTGTGTGGGCGTAGTGCATGGGCGTGGTGTATGGGCGTGGTGTGTGGGCGTAGTGCATGGGCGTAGTGTGTGGGCGTGGTGTGTGGGCGTGGTGTGTGGGCGTAGTGTATGGGCGTGGTGTGTGGGCGTGGTGTGTGGGCGTAGTGTATGGGCGTGGTGTGTGGGCGTGGTGTATGGGCGTGGTGTGTGGGCGTAGTGTATGGGCGTAGTGTATGGGCGTGGTGTGTGGGCGTGGTGTGTGGGCGTAGTGTATGGGCGTGGTGTGTGGGCGTGGTGTATGGGCGTGGTGTGTGGGCGTGGTGTATGGGCGTGGTGTGTGGGCGTAGTGTATGGGCGTAGTGTATGGGCGTGGTGTGTGGGCGTGGTGTGTGGGCGTAGTGTATGGGCGTGGTGTGTGGGCGTGGTGTATGGGCGTGGTGTGTGGGCGTAGTGTATGGGCGTGGTGTGTGGGCGTGGTGTATGGGCGTGGTGTGTGGGCGTGGTGTGTGGGCGTGGTGTGTGGGCGTGGTGTATGGGCGTGGTGTGTGGGCGTAGTGTATGGGCGTAGTGTATGGGCGTGGTGTGTGGGCGTGGTGTGTGGGCGTAGTGTATGGGCGTGGTGTGTGGGCGTGGTGTATGGGCGTGGTGTGTGGGCGTAGTGTATGGGCGTGGTGTGTGGGCGTGGTGTATGGGCGTGGTGTGTGGGCGTGGTGTGTGGGCGTAGTGTATGGGCGTGGTGTGTGGGCGTAGTGTATGGGCGTGGTGTATGGGCGTGGTGTGCGGGCGTTGGGGAGTGCATGGGTTCACATAGAAGTGCGTTGCAGGCACCAGCCAGCCTCCAGTAGTCCAAGTCTTCAGTTTTCGAGTCAGCTGCTCTTAAGCTCCATATCGAGGCGCCCCTGTAACGACAATGGAGTGTACGAGGGAAGGCTTACAAGTAAGATGTGCTGGTGTGGTGTGGATCCTACCATAGGTTCAGTCAGAACAGCTGTTCTTGCTTTTCAACGCTAGTAGCCCATGATTGCTGACACTGCAAATTAGGTATGGGCCAAAGGGGCGAATATAACCCTACCCTGATTTCAAGGCTGTTATCAGCAGCTGTATGTGTACTTGCTGTACAGTACATATCTGTACATACAACTTAGGTAAGCAAGGCATCTTCTCTGCAAGCCCTTCGTATCTGATTCCAGCCAAGCATGCCTCATGAAGGCTGCTGCTCAACAGAGCAGGGTGTCGTGTCAGTCAAGGGAATGAGCACAATACCATACCACTAAAAAAATCCAATTAGGTGACAGGGTAGCCTGGCTGTGCTGTGAGCAGCACCATAATGACATGCTGCCATGGTGGGTGGGCAGTGGGCACTCGGTGAGTCGACTCAGATCAGAACACCGCGTAGGCATGAGCATGCTTGGCTGTGCTGACAGCAGCACCATAGTGCCATGCTGAATTTGTGGATGGGGCATTGTGGGGCAGCTGGCTGACAGGCGTGAGTGGGTCTGTGGGTTCCAGGCCTGGCGGAATGTTGGGAAGGGCACATGAGGAGAGGGGAGTGAGATGTGGAAATGCGAGGAGAGAAGGGAGGATGTACGAATTGGGATGCAACGGGGCAGTATGCTGCCGGTGCATGCTCTACATATGTCCAATGCATGCTCTGCATATGTCCAATGCATGGCTCTACATGGGTCCAATGCATGCTCTACACATGTCAAATGCATGCTCTTCATATGTCCAATGCATGCTCTACATATGTCCAATGCATGCTCTACATACGTCCAATGCGTGCTCTACATATGTCCAATGCATGCTCTACATCTGTCCAATACATGCTCTACATATGTCCAATGCATGCTCTACACATGTCAAATGCATGCTCTACACATGTCCAATGCGTGCTCTACATATGTCCAATGCATGCTCTACATATGTCCAATGCATGCTCTACACATGTCAAATGCATGCTCTACTTATGTCAAATGCATGCCTCTACATCTGTCCAATACATGCTCTACACATGTCAAATGCATGCTCTACATATGTCCAATGCGTGCTCTACATATGTCCAATGCATGCTCTACATATGTCCAATGCATGCTCTACACATGTCAAATGCATGCTCTACTTATGTCAAATGCATGCCTCTACATCTGTCCAATACATGCTCTACACATGTCAAATGCATGCCTCTACATCTGTCCAATACATGCTCTACACATGTCGAATGCATGCTCTAAACATGTCCAATGCATGCTCTACACATGTCAAATGCATGCTCTACATATATAATGTGTGCTCTACATATGTCCAATGCATGCTCTACATATGTCCAATGCATGCTCTACATATGTCCAATGCGTGCTCTACATATGTCCAAAGCATGCTCTACATCTGTCCAATACATGCTCTACATCTGTCCAATACATGCTCTACATCTGTCAAATGCGTGCTCTACATATGTCAAATGCATGCTCTACATATGTCCGATGCGTGCTCTACATATGTCCAATGCTTGCACTACATATGTCCAATGCATGCTCTACATATGTCCAATGCATGCTCTACATATGTCAAATGCATGCCTCTACGTCTGTCCAATACATGCTCTACATCTGTCCAATACATGCTCTACATATGTCCAATGCATGCTCTACACATGTCAAATGCATGCTCTACATATGTCCAATGCGTGCTCTACACATGTCCAATGCATGCTCTACATATGTCCAATGCATGCTCTACATATGTCCAATGCGTGCTCTACATATGTCCAATGCATGCTCTACATCTGTCCAATACATGCTCTACATATGTCCAATGCATGCTCTACACATGTCAAATGCGTGCTCTACATATGTCCAATGCATGCTCTACATATGTCTAATGCATGCTCTAGATATGTCCAATGCGTGCTCTACATATGTCCAATGCATGCTCTACATATGTCCAATGCATGCTCTACAGATGTCCAATGCATGCTCTACATATGTCCGATGCATGCTCTACATATGTCCAATGCATGCTCTACATATGTTCAATGCGTGCTCTACATATGTCCAATGCGTGCTCTACATATGTCCAATGCATGCTCTACATATGTCCAATGCATGCTCTACATCTGTCCAATACATTCTCTACATCTGTCCAATGCGTGCTCTACATATGTCCAATGCATGCTCTACATATGTCTAATGCATGCTCTACATATGTCCAATGCATGCCTCTACATATGTCCAATGCGTGCTCTACATATGTCCAATGCATGCTCTACAGATGTCCAATGCATGCTCTACATATGTCCAATGCATGCTCTACATATGTCCAATGCATGCTCTACATATGTCCAATGCGTGCTCTACATATGTCCAATGCATGCTCTACATATGTCCAATGCATGCTCTACATATGTCAAATGCATCCCTCTACATCTTTCCAATACATGCTCTACATCTGTCCAATACATGCTCTACATATGTCCAATGCATGCTCTACACATGTCAAATGCATGCTCTACATATGTTCAATGCGTGCTCTACACATGTCCAATGCATGCTCTACATATGTCCAATGCATGCTCTACATATGTCCAATGCGTGCTCTACATATGTCCAATGCATGCTCTACATCTGTCCAATACATGCTCTACATATGTCCAGTGCATGCTCTACATCTGTCCAATGCGTGCTCTACATATGTCCAATGCGTGCTCTACATATGTCCAATGGATGCTCTACACATGTCCAATGCGTGCTCTACATATGTCCAATGCATGCTCTACATATGTCCAATGCATGCTCTACAGATATCCAATGCATGCTCTACATATGTCCAATGCATGCTCTACATATGTCTAATGCATGCTCTACATATGTCCAATGCATGCTCTACATCTGTCCAATGCATTCTCTACATCTGTCCAATGCGAGCCTTACATATGTCCAATGCATGCTCTACATATGTCTAATGCATGCTCTACATATGTCCAATGCATGCCTCTACATATGTCCAATGCGTGCTCTACATATGTCCAATGCATGCTCTACAGATGTCCAATGCATGCTCTACATATGTCCAATGCATGCTCTACATATGTCCAATGCATGCTCTACATATGTCCAATGCGTGCTCTACATATGTCCAATGCATGCTCTACATATGTCCAATGCATGCTCTACATATGTCAAATGCATCCCTCTACATCTGTCCAATACATGCTCTACATCTGTCCAATACATGCTCTACATATGTCCAATGCATGCTCTACACATGTCAAATGCATGCTCTACATATGTTCAATGCGTGCTCTACACATGTCCAATGCATGCTCTACATATGTCCAATGCATGCTCTACATATGTCCAATGCGTGCTCTACATATGTCCAATGCATGCTCTACATCTGTCCAATACATGCTCTACATATGTCCAGTGCATGCTCTACATATGTCCAATGCGTGCTCTACATATGTCCAATGCGTGCTCTACATATGTCCAATGGATGCTCTACACATGTCCAATGCGTGCTCTACATATGTCCAATGCATGCTCTACATATGTCCAATGCATGCTCTACAGATATCCAATGCATGCTCTACATATGTCCAATGCATGCTCTACATATGTCTAATGCATGCTCTACATATGTCCAATGCATGCTCTACATCTGTCCAATGCATTCTCTACATCTGTCCAATGCGAGCCTTACATATGTCCAATGCATGCTCTACACATGTCCAATGCGTGCTCTACATATGTCCAATGCGTGCTCTACATATGTCCAATGCATGCTCTACACATGTCCAATGCGTGCTCTACATATGTCCAATGCATGCGCTACACATGTCCAATGCATGCTCGACATATGTCCAATGCATGCTCTACATATGTCAAATGCATGCTCTACATATGTCCAATGCATGCCTCTACATATGTCCAATGCATGCTGAACACATGTCAAATGCATGCTCTACATATGTCCAATGCATGCTCTACATATGTCCAATGCATGCTCTACATCTGTCCAATGCATGCTCTACATATGTCTAATGCATGCTCTACACATGTCAAATGCGTGCTCTACATATGTCCAATGCATGCTCTACATATGTCCAATGCATGCTCTACATATATCCAATGCGTGCTCTACATATGTCCATTGCGTGCTCTACATATGTCCAATGCATGCTCTACAGATGTCCAATGCATGCTCTACATATGTCCAATGCATGCTCTACATATGTCCAATGCGTGCTCTACATATGTTCAATGCGTGCTCTACATATGTCCAATGCGTGCTCTACATATGTCCAATGCATGCTCTACATATGTCCAATGCATGCTCTACATCTCTCCAATGCATTCTCTACATATGTTCAATGCGTGCTCTACATATGTCCAATGCATGCTCTACATATGTCCAATGCATGCCTTTACATATGTCCAATGCATGCTCTACATCTGTCCAATGCATTCTCTACATATGTCCAATGCATGCTCTACACATGTCAAATGCATGCTCTACATATGTTCAATGCATGCTCTACACATGTCCAATGCATGCTCTACATATGTCCAATGCATGCTCTACATATGTCCAATGCGTGCTCTAGATATGTCCAATGCATGCTCTACATCTGTCCAATACATGCTCTACATATGTCCAATGC